TATGAATTCTTTTAAAGAGAAATACATGGTAGTAAATATACTCCATTAGGGCAGGGGTTTTGTCCATCTCTCTTTTCTTTTCTTTTTAATTTATTTTTTAAATGGACTTTATTTTATATATATATGTTTATTGATTTCAGAGAGGAAGCGAGAGGTAGAAACATCAATGATGAGAGAGAATCATTGATCGGTTGTTTCTTGCAAGCCCCCCACTGGGGATTGAGCCTGCAACCTAGGCATGTGTCCTTGGCTGGAATTGGACCTGGGACAGGTGGACACTCTCTCCACTGAGCCAAAGCAACTAGGGCTTAATCCACTAAGTTTTGATTGACTTATTGCACAGTAAAAGCTTACTGATACATAGACTATATACTTTCATTTAATCTTACAAGCTAATGTAATGCTGTATGTAGGTGCTCAATATATATTTGAACCATTGATGGCAGAGTTTTGTAAGGGGATTCTGACTGATTACCTACCTCTTCAGGGAGTAAGTTACATTGAGATGCCACAGCAGTTATGTAAGCTTCAACTACCACTGAAACCTGGGGAAAGCCAAATCCTCGAAAGGCAGTGTTGGATGGCAAGTTTGTTTTGCAAGGCCTACCCCGGCACCGGTAGTTAGGAATATGATACGCATTTTCAGATTTCAGCACAAGGAACTTTATCACCTGAATGAAAACAAAACCGAACTTCACATCTATCAAACATTCAAAATCGATTATCAAATTCTATCTCTAACACAAACCCTTCACAGAATTTTGTCTAATTTGTATGACAAATATCCATGCGAATAAAGTGTAGCACACACAAGTCAACGGGTAACCTATGGGGAGGGAATAGGCAGTCCTTATTTACCAACTCAGACTCATCAAGGGTGCATCCACCATTGATATAATATTGAACGTCGGCAGCTTTGATCACACCGTTGTTCATGAATCCAATCTGCAAAGTGATATGACAAAACCATTTTCTCAGCAGTTCTTTACAACCAGATCCTGCTGTACACAAACACATCTGACCGCATGTGTCAGTCCATACCCAGCTTATGAACATGATTTGATGTGACAGTCATCAGAGGAACCCTGAGGATGGTGTCCAGGGCAACCATGGGATCCCAACAGAAAGTTCTGATTGGTTTTGGGTAGCATCCAAATACCCCTTGCAGTCAGCATGGAATTTAGTACTTGTTTTATGATTGATTGGTTGTCCTTGGACAATATTTTCAGCAGTCTCCTAAAATTTTTCTCTCACTCACTTTGTATTTTCCGAGGAGTGGGTGGCGGCCAGCAGTTATCAGCATGTCATCACCACGTTCTAGAACAAACTGGGTTGGGCAGCCAGTCCTGTAGGAAATGACTCTGTTAATACGCTGGGTGCTTCATAAAGGTGTAGAAACATGGAGCTGGTAAAAGGGGACTGGACCTAACCTAACTTAGTGGTTTTCCATGGGGGCAGTAATATACCTTAAACAACATTTTGCAAGTTTTTGGGGACATTAAAACATAACAAAACAAACAAACACAAAAATAAAAACTCCTATTAATGTTATCCTGATTTAGTCATGTCTGAGAATTTTCATGTTGAAATAATACATTATTTACTTACTACAGGCCCAGTGCACACAGGTGGACACTCTCTCCACTGAGCCAAAGCCAAAGTTTGTGCACTGGCGGGGGAGAGGGGGCATGTCCCTCAGCCCCACTTGTGCCCCCTCACAGTCTGGGACCCCTCTGGGGATAACCACTTGCTGGCTTAGGCCTGCCCCCTGGGCGGCAGATGGCAGGCCCAATCCCGCAGTGCCTGCCCAGCCTCCCCGGGTAGCAGATGGCAGGTCCAGATCCCATGCTGGGTCGCAGCTGGCAGGCTCGGATCCCGCACTGGGTTGCCGGTTGGTGGGGCAGCATATTGCACTGCCGCCCGCCCTGCTGCCACGCCGCCCCGTGTTGCACACGGCAGGCCCGGATGGTGGATGGCAGATGGCAGTGGGTTGGGCGGCAGATTGCACTGTCCCGCACCACCTGCAGTTTGCAAATGTAATGGCCATCATTGTTGGGTTAATTTGCATATGCTTCTGATTGTCTGATTGGCGTAGCGAAGGTATGGTCAATTAGCGTCTTTGTCTTTTATTAGTGTAGATGTTACTTTCCTTTTATTTCTTTTTTATATGACATTAAGGCATTGTATGAGGATTTTGCAATTGTGTGAATTAGTAGGTTATATTATGATGATGTTCACTTTGTATATTAAAAGGGGCATTAAAACACTTGCCAAACAGAGGGGGAGAAAATGGCGGAGGTATAGATGGATGTGTCCTGTGCCTTGTCCCAAAGCAGATAAGGGTGAGCAGCTGAAACGGGTAACATACAGCCCAAATAGGCAGAAGATATTCAGCTGAGAGACAGTCTGCAGCTGGGAAACACAGAGAACTTCTGGAAAAAGGGGACAGTTGGAGACTGTGGCTGAAATCTCTCCCAGTGCGCCAGCTCAGCCGTGGAGACCGCGCTATCTTGAGTGGCTGTTACTAGCATCCAGAGATCGGCTACTAACCTGGAAATAAGGGATCTCAAGCAGCGCGACTGCATGAACTCAGACAAGCACTGCTTCTTCTCACAGAAAGGGTAGACTTCCCCCAAAGTTGCGGTTTGCAATTCAGGTTGGAGAGAGGAATGCGCGCTCGGGCTGGGGGGAAATCTGCGCCCCACAGAGTCTGTGGCCTTTGGGGCCAGCGTGACCCGCGAGTGTGGAAGGGCTCCCCCAGGGCTGCTGGCGGAAGGGAATGCTAAAAATAAGCCCTACCTGGACTGGATGCAAAAAAGCAGCCTCGGATTTTGCCAGTCTGCCGGCTGCTTGGTGCCAGGGGCAAGTGGGCGCGCGGAGACTGCGCACAGACCTGGAAGGTGGAGGCTTGTGAATTTTAACAAA